GTCAGACACGGTGGCCATGCCGACGCCGTCCTACCGGGGAGGAGCTGCCCTAGTGGTCCTGCCCGGGGGAGGCCAGATGACGCTCGACGCCGCAGCCCTCACGCGCTTGGTGGTGCCGTCCTAGACCTCCGGAACCAGCCATGGATGTTGAGAACAGCTGAATTCACACAACCACGAATTCGATGCATGGAATTCCGGCACGCCCCGCCTCGACCCCCCCCCCCCCCCCCCCCCTAGCCCGTACATGTTACCTCTGCCCTTGAGCTTCGTCCTCCCAAGTAGCCACCCCCCCCCCCCCAAGAATTGACTGCATGGAATGCACGCTATGCCAGAACTGCCCCGGGCGCACTGGACCTGCATGATTGGCATGGGCACGTAGTCGTCAAAGTTGCTTTAGCTTCCACTCCTCGGAATAGATACTGTGCCGGATTGCCCTAGGCGCACGGGGCCCGCATGACTTGCATGTGCACGTAGCTGTTTCTCACACTCTGTCACAGATGCACGCCGGCATTCTCGCAGGAGCAATAATGGGAACTGGTTGTCTCGTTGTGGGGTTTAGGGGAGCTGTTGCGAATACATGCTGTGTTCTCCATGTGTTCCTCATGATTGCACGGACACGTAGCTGTCCTCACAACTGGTCGAAGATGCGTGCCGGCACTCTCGCAGGCGCACCGACTGGGAACGACTGTTTCAGTGCGAGATTTGAGGGAGCTGTCGTGCAGTCGTGATGTGCTCTTCATGTGTGTTCTCCATGCGTGCGTCAGCAGAGACGCTCAGAGTCCGAATCCGCCTGGCCCTTAAGCAGCTCGGAACGTCACGCCTCACAGTGCGAGCAACACGTTGCAGTTTGGAGTACAGGCACCGCCAAAGAGCTCCGCCAAACCCACCGCCTTGCCCGGGGACATGCAGGGGAGAGACGAAAGGTCATCGTATGAGAGGCTCGCAAACCGTTTCGTAGGCCCGTGGGTGGAATCTCGTACCGAAGCCAAACGCATCGCCAAGGCCACTCTCGCATACCGTATGGAGGATATCATTCGTTCTCAAGCCATTCGTCGCCGTATCAATGAGGAAAACCTTCGGGCTGTGGGGTGGTCGCATGAGGCTCGCGCGATGGTCGAGGGTCGCGCGGGGGTCGGGGGAGAGAGGCGAGGGGTGGTCAAGGAGGATGGCCCGACGGAGGGGCCGGCTTGTTGAGCGCGCCTCGTTAGCTGCATACACAGACACACACACACAAGCGCACCCCCCCACACGCGCGGGCGTGTACTCAGGTCCGCTTCAGTGTGCTAGGTCCGTAGGCGTCCCCTACCTGCCCCCCCCCCTACTTGTAACAACCCCGCTAACAGTCTATGGCACCTTGGTGCATCCTGAGCCATGGCCTCTCGACACGATGTGACGCTGGCCTGAGCTGGGAACCTTGGAGCCCGCGAGTTTGGCATGTGGGTTGGACTGCAATGGAGGCTGGCATCACCAATACAGCAGCACGATGTTTGGGCTGCCAGGGGACACAGCGAGATGCTCAAGTTTTGACCGCTTTGGCCGCCCCCGGCGACACGGAGTGACTGCATGACGAATACCACTGCACTGCATGGAGTTGGGTCGCCGCGGAGGGTGGCAGATGGGGACCCTGCGCCTGCATGATGCCTGCAACTGCCAGATGCATGACCGCTGGTACGAAGCAGAGAAGGAATTCATGAATTCAGAATTTATGAATTCAGCAGTGAAGGCCCTGGAAACTGATGGATGCAAAACTGCATGTTGAGTGAAGCTTGGGTTCTGCACGAGCTCGGAGCTGACAGTCCCGCGCACGTGAACTCTGCATGGACCGTGTGCCTGGCCACCACCTGCCCAGTTGCGCCTCCTGACGCCCGGGGATGACAGAGACAGATGTAAGTGGATGATCGTGGATAGCCACAGACGGCAGTCGCTGCTCGGGACATCGAATGCTGAGGATAGAGAGAAGTATCACCCACCTAGCCCTTGCCACATGTAGCTTTCTGGGAGGAAAGGCCGCTCGGGTTGTGCTGTTCTGGTGATGCTGTTCATACCTGATCTTTGGACGGTTTGCGGCAACCTCCACGTATTTTCGCTAGGTCGCAATGTGCCTAGGAATAGTTAGTCAGGTCTGATGGGGGAGGCTTGTTTCAAGGTGGAAAGGTGATCGAGGTATACTGTTAGCTATCATGGTTTGCGCCCCTCTGTTGGACACGCCGACTGGGTCAAAGAACTTCTGTCGGCCAAGCGACACGCACCAATTTGTTTTCTATTTGTCTGGGATCGATCTGGGGTCAGCTCTTCGGTATCGTGGCTTGGTGTTGAATATCCGTCGGTGGTCATGCTGACCCTGGTTGGTTCGTTTCTGGTGGTCAATGTACCCACTCTGGAGATCTCGACAGGACTTGCCTCGCCCGCTTATGCCAGTGTGAGAGTCGAAACCCTAAACCCTAAACCCTAACCCTGAGTTTTGACCCCTTTCCATGTGAGGACGGCGGCTCCAGGCTGGCAGCGCCAAGACACGAGGCACCAGCCCCCAAGTCCACTCCGAGCCTCAAAGTTAGGGTTTAGGGTTTAGGGTTTAGGGTTTAGGGTTTAGGGTTTAGGGTTTAGGGTTTAGGGTTTAGGGTCGGCGAGGTGGCAAGCCTGTTGCAAAAGGGTTTAGGGTTTAGGCTTAAGTAAACTTCGGGTTTCGGGGCTTTTGGGGTTCATGTAGGATTTGGGGCGGGATCAAGTGGGCTTAGGGTTCAGGGCTGGGAGGCTGTAGGGTTTTAGTTCAACGCGATTTCGAGTTGGCTTTTCCACGTTTCTGTGATATTTTTTTGCTGCTTCTTGTGTTGCTTAGTCACGAAGAACCCAGGACCGAAGCCACAAATCACGCGTATTCTTCCCAAGGCCCCATAAGGCGCTTGCACCACCCAAGCTCATTGAACTTGAGTTGCGGGCGTCGACTTGAACGTTCAGAGGTCGTGCTTTGGTATTGCTGCAAGTACCACCCCGTACGCAAATACTAAGGTCATTGCCTCTATCCTCAGTAACAAATGGCCAGAACCCCTTTTTTCTCCCACGAAGCTCTACTGGGAGTGAGGGATTTGCAACTAGGATAGAACCTCCTCCCCTTGAACCGCTTGAGTTTAGCGCTGAGGGTTCAGAAACCATGGCCTGCCTTAACCGATGTCTAACAACGATCTTTGTCCACGCGCTTTCCAAGAGAAAAGTTGGCCATCAGCAACCTAAGACTTTGGCGGCTTTGCTATGCCAAGAGCCCTGAAAGCCCCCAAGTTCCCAGCTTAATTTCTGATAGTTCTGGCCAGAACAAGCACCCAAGCCCTGTGCTCCACACCTCGGATTAGGGAAAGAAGGGCTTACAGATACTTATAGGGGATGGTTATCAACAGCAACCAAGCTGGATGTACACTCTCCGATGCGCTGTCTTAACTAACATATTTCTTCAACGAGGACATGCTGACTCTATGCCCAACAAATCCCTCAAGCCCTTGCTGTCGTGAGATCCCGCTTCTGAGGATTCCGCCATCACCGCTGCTACACAGAAGCAGAAGAGCGTTCGGGCCCTGTTTACGGGGTTAGGGTCTCAATTAGTAATTCATTGACCTTGTGGAAAGGCTGTAGGGCCTCTGAATGGTGGATGGTTTACGTGACACGCTCCTTTCTTTGTGCAGAGCCCGATCGAAAACGGCATATCTGATACAACGTATGTTGGCGATGCAGCATGTCCAGGATAGTTGGCCAAGATATCGTGCCATGGTCCGCCACAGGCGTCCATGACGCACGCTGCGACACTGCACCCGCTGTCAAAGTCGAACGCTTGGGACAAGGACCTGGGTCTGAACCCCATCACCGGCACAACTTGGAGGTTCATGGTACTTAATAATACCCAATGAAAAGAACTGTACTTCTAACCCAAGTATAACCATGTTAGGGCACTTAAGGGGCTTATAAGTACCATGAACCTCCAAGGAAGTGTTCTCGCACTTTGCAATCCTCCCATCTCTGTGTCGAGGCTGCAGATTCATGTCAGCTGGAAGGCAAGTTCAGCCCAATGTACCACTCAGGGCGCTCACAGGTGCCCCTGAACCTTGTGTGCCATATTAAGGTCGGAAGAAGTACTAGTAGCATTCCCCTATGGTCCCTTTATAATTGTACTATAATAACCTCCTCAAAACCCTATTCTAATTTTTGAGGCCCCTATATTAAGCCCCGCAAGTTGCCATGACCATAGTCTACAGACCTGCATCCTCTAGAACGTGTACGAGAAGGAATCTGCATTCATCTAGCGCACCCTTCCAATCACAGACGTTAACAGACTCAGCTGTGCGCTGAAAGCCCAGCAGCTGCCATGGCAGGAGAAGACAATGTCTGCGAAGCACTCAATGCCTTCCTCTGAGTACATGGGCCCCATAGACAGCAACAGCTCCATCATGTAAGGCGCCGCCGCGGGGGGAGTGGGGGGGGGGAGAGAGAGTCTTCTTGGGCCTGCATTTGGGATTGCGGAGACTCAGAGTGAGAGAGGAGGAGTGGGGGAGTTCACGAGCGAGAGTTTTTTGAACTGATAAGTTTGGCAGGGCTGAGCTTGAAAAAGTTCACAAGGTGCGTTCTAGGGGGGGGTTAGGGTTTAGGGTTTAGGGTTTAGGGTTTAGGGTTTGGGGTGTGCCGGCAGTTTCAAAGTCCGTTGCTCAAAAAGGGTTTAGGGTTTGGTGGGGGGGGGGGGGGGGTGCCGGATGGTGGCAACCATTGCAGCCATTGCCAGACAGGTTTCAGGCTTCGGAGCAGGGTTGGGCCGCTGCAGTCCTTTTTCAGGGTCTATTTGCAGGAGTTTCGGGTTTAGGGTTTAGGGGTTTAGGGGTTTGTTTAAAGACAACTCCTTCACCACTGTGGTAATCTTGTGTTGTTTCTGTCGCCGCTGCCGTTCAGAGACCAAATCCGATTCTCGGCATCAACAAGGAGCCCGTGCCCCATAGGGACCCAAAGCGTCCGACAACACGGCAGAGATGCGCTGCTTGAGCTAGATTGAGAATTTTCAGGGTTCGGAGTCTGAATAACAACCGTGGTGCTTTGCATCATTTTGACAGCCCGTGAGTAAAGTGAGATCGGTTGCTCCTGGAATTTTGTATTATTCCGGGAAGGCAAGGCGGGTTGGGCTTTGCATGCTGCATCGGCATAGCGCGTTGTTCCCGGAACGTTTGCTCTTCCTGGCTGAAAGGACGTATGGTAAAGCCTGGAGTGTCAAGGGCACGCGCGTAGCGAGTGAAGCCCTCGCAAATGCCACCTGACCTGTAGAGCCTGGAGAGTCAAAGGCATGCGCGTAGGGAGTGAGGCCCCCCACAAATGCCACTTGTGAAACCCAAAGCCCAAAAACCCTAACCCTAACCCCTACACCCTGCTCAGGTAAGACAGCGTTGATCACGGGCATCACAGGGCAGGCCAAGCCCTTGCTTCACGGCAAAGGGGCCTCGTTGTCTTTGGGGACGGATTATGAACCTTCGGGTTTGGGGTTGCTTATTGCCTTGGGGACCAAATGAACCCGAAAAGGCGCATTGATGGTTCATATACTTCAATAGCGATTGCCGTAGTATAGCGCATATGACCCCAATTTCAGGGTTCATCTGGTCCCCAAGGTAGTCACATGACTCAATCCCACGATAGCCCTCAAGTCGAAGCCTTCATGAACCGCTGTAGAAGCTGCCATGCAGCGGTCCTGCAACTACGCTGCGTCGGCAGCTTGGGAACCTTGGGAGGATGGCTCCTACCTGGCCGAGTTTCTCTTGGAGAAGGGCTACTGCGTCCACGGCATCATCCGGAGATCATCCTCTTTCAACACGGCCCGAAACTCAAGGGGGTTGGTGTTTGGAGCAGAGCTAGTGGGCGTAAACATTCAGACCTTGACCCTCAAAAGGAGCCTACCACGGATGGTGTCCATTTTATCCGCTCTCGTCGACTTCATGAGCAGAACAAGCTTCATTCTCACTGGCTCATGATCTTGCTGCGTCGAGATTCAATACAGAGCTTTGATTTGCTGTCCTACCAGCATGGGCTATTATTCCCTAGAGCCTATTCGGGTTGATCAGGGGACCCTAAACCCTGAACCCCCATCCGGGTGCAGGATTCAGGGGATCTAAATATCTGGTCCCTGAAGCCAGAAGTGCACACAAGGCGCGCATTGACCACATCTTCGACAAGGTGGCAGGGGCTGTAGGGCCCGTAAAGGGTTTAGGGATTAGGGTTTAAAGTTTAGGGTTTAGTCGTTAGTTCTTAGGGTTTAGGGGTCATAGTTCTTAGGGCTTAGGGTTTAGGATTGAGGGCTTACGATTGAAGAACTCGTAGTCATGCTTAGGAATCTCCATTACGATATGTTGCGAGATGACCATCTTGATGTTTGAGACTCTGCCTGTTGATTGGCTTGCTGGAGTATGGGAGTCCAGTCAGTAGCATTGGAAGCCTGTGCTTGGGCAGTTTCTGGCAGCACCCACGGGAGTCCGGATGCAAAAAAGGGTTTCGGCTGCTTCGGAGAGCCTCACCGCGCGAGAGCGCGCGAGGTGAACCTGCACTATGGCGACCTTGTAGACTCCAGCAACCTCGCCTCAATCATGGCCAAGGCCGATTCAGGGGGAAGTGGGGGCCCTTCCTTCGGTTTCCGAGAGATGCGAATGCAGGCTACGAAGTCCTCGCAACTAGTATGAAATTAGAAGCATAGCAGTCAGACATTTTGCTTAAGCCAACGACCAGAAGAAACATCTGCGTAGTTCGTATCAGGATGTCAGGTTAGTAATATTCGTTAGTACTGTTAGCAAGATGGATACTTCACAACAGAAAATGAAATAATGAATGACACTAGTGAACATTGTTCGTGCCATTACTTTTATCGCCCCTATTTTACTCTCATTGCGATTGTATCGATTGAGTCGCCCACTCCCACAATCTCCCATCCGCGCAGGTCAAGCCCGATGAAGCCGCTGGGCGTTTTTGGACCCAGGGGCGTTTTTTTGTTTTTTTTGTTTTTTTGGGGGGGTGGGGGGGGGTGGGGGGTTAGGGTTTAGAGCTTCAGGGGGTGAGGGAGTTTAGAATTCATAAATGTCTAGAATTAGGGTTTATAAGGGTGGTGAGTTTTAGGTGGACAGGGGGGTTTTAGAATTTATCAGGGCTTAGTCTTTGAGGTCTGCCTTCCCTGCCCTCGGTGTTGGCAGATGTTAAGCCACCCTAAACCCTAAACCCTAAACCCTAAACCCTAAACCCTAAACGCCTCACCTCCTCGCCTCCGGTGTCTGGTCAGGTCTCCTGGCCCGGTCCTGTATCCCGGAGTGCTATGGGCCCATGGGTTGTCATAACCTAGGGTTATAAGTAGTTTTAAGTAACTTATAAGTAGTTATAAGTAGTTATCAGCACCTTATGAGTAGTTATAAGTACCTTAAATAAGGTGAAGAACCAGGTACAACTACAGTGATCCTAGGGGTATACTAAATAAGCTACCCATGAACCTCCAAGTGCCCACTCCCACAGAGAGGCCCACAAGCCTGCGGCGAAGTATCCTTGATTACTTGACCGAGAACTGCTGGGTGGCATTCTTTAAAAGGTTTACGGGTTTTAGGGTTTATTAATAGGGCCACCATGTATGGTTAAGTGTTCGAGTTGCCTGACTCTAATTTAGAGCAACCCACTGCTTCAGGTCTACAATTTGGCCGCGCAATCCCACGTCAAGGCACAAACCACGTGGGGGGGAGCTCGCAGGTTTGCCGATTGTTAGCCAGGTTGTCGGAATTATGGTCCTTTTTTTGTTGCCATTTGCAATACGGGAACTTGTATGTTGGGTAACCCAAAGCACGGACCAATAGAAACCTGCCCACATGCTGTTCCCTTTCTACGGCTTGAGCCAGACAGCAAAGGTGACACGGGCTAAAGCTGCATTCCCATCACCTTAAACAATTTGATGTCGCAAATCCCCACACAGTTTAGGTCATAATGTCATTTCATGGACAGCCCCAACCAGTTGAAGGCATGCTGCCCCAAGTTTCAGTACAGGTCTCCTTCGAGGAGCCAGAGTACACGGCACAAGCTGATGGCCGCCCGGCTGCGAAGGGTCTAAACATGCTCTGCTATTTGCTTAACCACCAAAAGTATCAAACAAGAAAGTGACAAAAATCAAGATCCCCTTAGTACCCTAAGAACCCGCAAAAGCACACACACACACACACACACACACACACACACACACACACACACACACACACACACACACACACACACACACACACACCCACACGCACACGCACACGCACACGCACACGCACACGCACACGCACACGCACACGCACACGCACACGCACACGCACCCGCACCCGCACCCGCACCCGCACACGCACACGCACCCGCACACGCACACGCACCCGCACCCGCACCCGCACCCGCACCCGCACGCACACGCACACGCACGCACACGCACACGCACACGCACGCGCACGCGCACGCGCACGCGCACCACGCACACGCACACGCACACGCACACGCCCACGCCAACGCCCACGCCCACGCCCACCCCACGCCCCGCGCCTACGCGCACGCGCACGCGTTGCGCACGCGCGCACGCGCGCACGCGCGCACGCGCGCCGCGCGGCACGCGTGCCCTCGCGCGCGCACGCCGCCGCACGCGCGGCACGCGCGCGACGCGCGGGGGGCCGGGGCACAGCGCGCGCCACGCTGCGCGCACGCGCGCGCACCGCGGCCGGCAATCGCGCGCACTCGCGGCGCACTCGCGCGCACTCCCGACGCACTGCCTGCGCGCGCGGGCACGCGGGCACGCGCGGCACGCCGCGCACGCGCGCGACGCGCGCAGCGCGCCACGCGCGCACGCCCGCACGCCCGCACGCCCGCACGCCGCACGCCGCACGCCCGCACGCCCGCACGCCCGCACGCCCGCCCGCACGCCCGCACGCACGCACGCCCGCACGACCGCCACGCCCGCACGGCCCGCACGCCCGCACGCCCGCACCGCCCGCACCGCCCGCACGCCCGCACCGCCCGCACGCCCGCACGCCCGCACGCCCGCACGCCCGCACGCCCGCACGCACGCATGCACGCACGCACCCACGCACACACCCACACACCACACACCACACACACACACACACACACACACACACACACACACACACACACACACCACCACACAACACCACACCGACACACACACACACCACACACACACACACACACACACACACACCACACACACACACCCACACCCACACACACACACACACACACAACCACACACACACACACACATAGCCACACACACACACACATAACCACACACACACACACATAACCACACACACACACAACCACACACACACACATAACCACACACACACACAGAACCACACACACACACACACACACACACACACACACACACACACACATATAACCACACACACACCCACACAAAAAAAACGAAAGGATCCCCTCATTGCCCTTATAGGGAAGAAGCAAACTGTGTTTAGCAGACGTTGGAACTGTCAAGGGTTTGGGCATCTTCCTGGGCTCAACCATGCCAGAATGCCACAAGGAACACTTCCAGACATAGCTGACTGATCCTGGTTACAACCGGGGTACTTAGAACCCTACTGATAACTACCCATGAACCTTCAAGTAAACGTTCCCCCCCCCCCCCCCCCGCCGGAGCCCTACAACCAGAATGGGCTATTAGGCCTTCAAATCCCCTGAATGAACCCTATACAGGCCCTTTTAAGGGATGTTTAGGGTTTAGGGTTTAGGGTTTAGGGTTTAGGGTAAGGGATTGTAGGGTATAATAGCCCATCCTGGAAAGCCCCCTAGGCGTGGGAACCCTGCGGCTGCTGGAGGCAATTCGCACCGAAGCCTGGCTGCAGAGCTTTAGGGTTTAGGGTTTTCGGGTCTGGGGTTTAGGGTTTAGGGTTTAGGGTTTAGGGTTTGGGGTTTAGGGTTTAGGGTTTAGGGTCTGCAGACTTGCCGACCCTGATTGTGAACGTTTCCCGAAAAAACCAAGGGGATCAGGGGCCCCTTTTGGGTGCGCGGCTTAGGGGGAGCCTTTTGAGGGTTTAGGGTTTAGGGTTTAGGGTTTAGGGTTTAGGGTTTAGGGTTGTAGAAATGGAGGGGGGGGTATCGGGAATCCTCGTTTTCAAGAAATGCCCATGTCGGCGCGCATCTTGGAACTACGAACCTCCTCGCCAGCTATCCATTTTATAGTTGCTGAAGGAGTTCCTGAGGGTTCAGGGTTTAGGGTTTAGGGTTTAGGGTTTAGGGTTTAGGGTTTAGGGATAGACGATACGTGTCAAAGGCTGAGGATGACGAAGTTGTAGGGACGAAGACCCTGTCGAAGTTGTAGTGTTTTGGGAGTATTCAGAGCCTTTAACGACCTACATACCATAAAGCCCTCCTGTCGAAGTTGTAGTAGTGTTGCGGTAGTATTAAAAGCCTTTAAAGCCCCAAATACCCTACAGCCCTCAAACCCCAAAACCTGAAAAGCAAAACACTTGGGTCTTACGATATGAGGAGCACCTTATCGGGATCCCTATATGTCCCTATAAACAGGGATCCTACTATTTGGGATCTATATCAGGGGCCCCTAATTTTCGTAAACCCCCACTGGTCCCAGGTGGGCCTGGAGAAAACTACCAGGTTCTACCAAGCATCGACGTCGGAGCTCTACGGTATGGTGCAGGACCTGTGGTGCTGGAAAAGCAAGGCAAAGTAGGCCTCGGATAATTTCAAACCCTCAACCCTAAACCCTTGAGGGTTTAGGGTTTAGGGTGTAGGGCTAGGGTTTAGGGTTTAGGGTTTAGGGCTGTTGCAAATCCGACCTCTTTGCGCCAGGAGGTGCCACAGAAAGAGACGACGCCCTTCTATCCCCGATCGCCCTACGCCGTGGCCAAGCTCTACGCCTACTGGATTGTGGGGCCCTGAGCTTGAAGGGTTTAGGGTTTAGGGTTTAGGGTTTAGGGTGATCACTTAACTGGATTGCGGGCCCCTAAGCCTTGGTAGCCCAGTGGGGTACACTTTTTGCCTGTTTTTGTGGTTCTGGGTTCCCTAAAGAAAGTAACCAGCCCCGAAAAAGTGTGTTCTTATTACATATGTGTCGAGGCCTCCCAAAAGCATTCATCGCTGTTTCCAAGATGGGGGGGGGGAGGGGGGGGCTCTCAATTTTCGATGCGGTGCACCCATCACTTGACTGGTTAAGTACCTTGAGTGAAGAGACATCTTCTGATCCGCAGGTTCCGGGATATCTGGTTTCTTCTGCAGAGCCTGTAAAGCACAGAAGTGCGCTTGCTAAAGCCATGCAGTGGAGTGGATGTGCTCTGCGCAGGTCGTGAACTACCGCGAGGCGTACGAGATGTTTCCAGCCGGCAAGCAATGCTTCAGAGCGGAGACTCTGGAGCCATAAGCTTTCTGAGGTTTCTCTGGCATTTCTGGCACTTGCTGTCAAACTTTGAGCACGCAGCTTTTGTGAGGGGGCTTGGGGGGGCACCAGTGTTCAGAGCTGAGGTCTGAGAGCTGAAGGGCAGCCTTGAGGCTTGAGATTTGTATGGTCGTTGGGTAGAGTCGAGTTTCACAGCAGCAAGTCTAAAGCAGCAAGCTGCCAAGATCAAATCCAGAACCTGAAGCCTCAAACACCCATTTCCAGCCATGGCACCCTCTCTTACTTCCCAACTGGCCCAGCTCCCTAAACCCCAAACCCCAAACCCCAAACCCTAAACCCTAAACCCTAAACCCCAAGCCCCCTCAAAAAAGTCCCAGCGGCCCACCCTGCATGTTGAGGTTCGCGGTGAACGGCATCCTGTTTAACCACGAGTCACCTCGCCGAGGAGGCCCCCGATTTTGGGTTGTGAGTTGGGGTTTGCGAAAAAAAGGGACCCCCTATTCAATAGGATCACCTTATAATTAGAATAAGGACCCCAACAAGGTACCCCTAATTTAGGAAACCCCTCATTTCGGGTCTGGGATTGAGGGCCTAAGGTGTTTTAGGTGCAAGGTTGTGCTCTGAAGAACCATGGGGTAGCTCTAGGCAGTGATTGCACCAGCAATGCTATATTTTACCGAGCTTATCTCCATGAAGCTCTGGAAATTTGCCGGAGGGCGTCGTATGATCTACCAACTGCTGAAGAACCCCCAAAAAAGTAGAAAAGACTCTTCCTTATAAGGACACTCTAGGGATAATTCTTTATTTTTTTGGGGTTCACAAGCAAAATAGTAGTGATGGGTCGTCCACGTGTGTAGCAGTGATCTAGGTGCGAAGAGAGGCGCGAGCCCGAAGTTGGGACTGGGGCCGATAGACCCTGGTCTGACCCTGGTGCTTGAGACTTTTAGGGTTTAGGGTTTAGGGTTTAGGGTTTGGGGTTTAGGGTTTGGGGTTTGGGGTTTAGGGTCTTCACTCCAAACCTTGATTTCGAGACACCACAATCCCACTTGAGATGGACGATGCATTGGGCTGTTCGGCTTGCAACATGTTGACTGGCAGGCGGTTTAGGGTTTAGGGTTTAGGGTTTAGGGTTTAGGGTTTAGGGTTTAGAGTTCTTACCCTTCTTAAACCCCCCCCAAGATTAAAAGTTTAGGCCATAGCTGCCGAACGTCGGAGGTACTTTTGTGACGAAGAAGGTCACGGCCAACGTTGCCCAGGTCATGGCAGGCACTAGTCCTAAACCCTAAACCCTAAACACTAAACCCCACCTAGCCGTGTGTGTCTCGCCTGGCCTGTCCGAGTCTGAGCGATCAAACCCTAAACCCTAAACCCTAAACCCTAAACCCTAAACTCTATACCCTAGGAAGCATCCCCCTCTTGCAGAGGTCCATTTGCAAAGCTCTCCGACTTTAAGCCCTATAAGCCCTCAACCCCCAAAACCCTAAACCCCAAACCCTAAACCCTAAACCCCAAACCCTAAACCCTAAACCCTAAACCCCAAACCCTAAACCCCCAAACCCTAAACCCTAAACCCCAAGCCACTGCCTCAGAATGCGCTGCTGATGTTTGAGGAACCCGGAAAGGACCATGAAAGACATCCCGAAGTCTTCAGGGCTGAGGGTATTAGGGGGGTTACTTGGAGGGTTTACGGTTTAGGGTTTAGGGTTTAGGGTTTAGGGTTTAGGGTTTAGGGTTTTGGTTTTGGTTTAGGGTTTAGGGTTTAGGGTTTAGGGTTCATGGTACTTATTAACCATTTATAACTGTACCTATAACCTACTTGTAAGCCCCTTAAGCGCGCTAGTATGGTTATAAGTACAATTACAAGTACAGTGATCAGTACAGTTATCATTGGCTAATAAGTACCATGAACCTCCAAGTAAGGGACTTCAGGTTTAGGGTGTTAGAGGGTGCAGAGGTCTAAGGCTAGAAGGGATTAAGGGACCCAAGGTTGAGGTCTTCAGGGTTCTTGGGGTTTAATGGGTGTTCGAAACATCCCCCAAGCTCTTAAGTCCCAAACATTCCTAGCCATCCCGAAATCCCGCAGCCCCACAAAACCCGAAACCCTTAAACCCTTAACCCTAAGCCCTAAACCCTAAACCGTAGACCCTAAACCCTAAACCCTAAACCCTAAACCCTAAACCCTGAACCCTGAACCCTGAACCCTGAACCCTGAACCCTGAACCCTGAACCCTGAACCCTGAACCCTGAACCCTGAACCCTGAACCCTGAACCCTGAACCCTGAACCCTGAACCCAAAACAACCGTCCAGGCACCCGAGACCGGATCCTTTTGGGGAACCTGGACTCCAAGCGCGACTGGGGCCACGCCAAGGAGCGCAAAGCTGTAGGGGTTTATTTAGGGTTTAGGGTTTAGGGTTTAGGGTTTAGGGTTTAGGGCTAGGAATTGGAGGGTTTCTAGGGTTTATAGGGTTTAGGGTTTGTGGGGCTTATAGGATTTAGGGTTTAGGGTTTATAGGGTGCTGGTTGTGTGGGCCTGAGTTTCCCGACAGCTGAGTGGTTTCGGGTTTATAGGGTTTATAGGGTGTGTAGGGTTTGTAGGGTTTGTAGGGTTTGTAGGGTTTTTGTAGGGTTTTTGTAGGGTTTTTGTAGGGTTTACAAGCTTTCCAGCGTTTATAGGGTTAAGGGTTTATAGGGGGTTTACAGGGTTTGTAGGTTTTCGTGCAATGTAGGGAAACAAAAGCAAGTCGTACTTAATGACTCTTGGTAGGGAGTTGTCGCACCTATTTACGGGGCAGTATTTGTGTAATCTAAATCCTAAACCCTAAACCCTAAACCCTAAACCCTAAATCCTAAACCCGAAACCCGAAACCCTTAACCCGAACCATCCTAACCCCTAAATATGAAGTTGGTAATGGGGCACCTTCTCTGGCCAACGGAGTAGAACCATGTGCTCAGGGAAGCCGTGCGGTGTACAGCATATCACAGTCACCCTAAATCCCAAACCCTGATTGGTTTAGGGTTTAGGGTTTAGGGTTTAGGGTTTAGGGTTTAGGGTTTAGGGTTTAGGGTTTAGGGTTTAGGGTTTAGGGTTTAGGGTTTAGGGTTCAGGGTTCAGGGTTTAGGGTTTAGGGTTTAGGGTTCATCCCAGCTTCGAGGGCCGCAGAAGCTCCAGGACTACGTCCGGATGATGTGGATGATGCTGCAGGTGGAGAAGCCCGACGACTTCGTGGTGGCCACCAACAAGCATCTGTCCTAGCAAGTCAGCACAACCCTCAACCCTAAACCCTAAGCACGTTCAGGGCAGCGGGATTTTGCAGTTGTAGGTGAAGGTTTCCAGTTGTTTGTGCCGGCTCCTGCCATTTGTGTAAAGTAAGCCTAACCTGTGAAGCAAGTCCAAGCGAAGGTTCAAGTCACTCCAATAGAACACAAGAGCTTGTGCAGTGCATAGTTGTGATAGCACTGGCTATCGGCTCGATAGTGAGGGCTGCCTTGTTGGTTGAGGCAATACAGCGTTCGAGACCTGGTGACGCTGTGCTTCGAAATGGCCACCTGGCGAAGAGCTTGTGACATGTGAGAAGGAAGGCTTGAGATCAGAACGCGCGCTTGCATCTCATCATACCCCTGAACCCTTAAACCCTAAACCAAACCCTCAACGCCCGAAACCTATTAACCTAAAGCTCGACGCCTAAGGCCCTAAAACCCTTAAACGATAAACGCAGTTTTTGAACCACTCTCAGGGCTTAGGGTTTTCGGTGAAGGGTCAAGGGTTTAGGAGTTGGGGGCTTATGCTTTAGGGTGTAGGACAAAAAGGTTTAGGTTCAGGGCTTATCTTTCCGACCAGGACAGCATAGCCCGGATGTAAAATAAGGGAGGAGTTAAGGCTTAGGGTTTAAGGTTTAAGGTTTAGGGTTTAGGGTTTAGGGCTGGATGGCTTGGAGCTGGACGGCTTCCGTAAGCCCAAAGCAGTAACCAGCCCGAAAGCTATCGTCCAGAACACAAGAGGGAAGCAGAATATGCCCTAGGGCTCCAAGCATACAATTAATACCTACGTTGGGGTCTAAAGTCTGTAAAGAATACCTACTTTGGGCTTTCTGGAGCCTTAGGGAAGGGTTTTGGGGTTAGGCCTCAAGCCCTTCGGAGCATAACATGTTGTGAATATATCACCTCAGACAACACATAGTCTAACTTGACATTATATACTGTGAGGGTCAAAAGCCCACAGCAAGCCACATCTCGAGCTATCCGAGCTTCAGATCCGTCATCTTGTTTGAGCTCGAGGCTCACAAGTGTGCAAGGGTAGGGAGAGAGTTTTAAAATACATTTTTAACCCTAAACCCTAAAAATAAAACCCTAAACCCACTGAGCCCTTGAAGAATAGGAAGCCCCAAGATGCTGTGGGGGGGGGAACCCAGGTGGGCAGGCCGGTGATCTGGCATCTCGGCTGCAAGCAAGGAACCCACTTGGCGGTTTAGGGTTTGGGGTTTAGGGTGCTTTTGGTGCGGGATGGTTCAGTGGTTTCACAGTAAATCAACTAAGAGAAGCTTCAAAGCACTAACTGGACTTAGATATGTTTGTTCATTCAATTAAGCCATCGAGTCTTTAATCTTAGGGTTTAGGATTTCCGTGCGCCGAGCCTACGAGCTTTGCTTGTCACTGTAATGCTCTGAACCATGGCCTTGGGTTCGCATCCCGACTAACGCTTGCTTTTGCTACTTAAGGCTCCCTAAGAACCGCTCCCTAAGAACCGCTCCTCTTTCCCACATGCCAGCCCTGAACAGGATCCTTTGTGCTTCCGGGTTTAGGGTTTAGGGTTTAGGGTACGCAATCCTCAAAACCCTTCTGAGAGACCCTGAACCCACAGCTTTCAACCCTGAATCCTGTCAAGCCTGAACCCTAGAACCCTAAGCCCTAAACAGTAAACCCAACAAACCCTATACCCAAGAACCCAATAAACCCAAGAACCCAATAAACCCTAAACCCCAAGCCTCAGATCTAAGGGCCCAAAACCCACTAACGCCCAGGCGGGGAACCGGCCTGGAGGAGGAGGGTGTGGATGAGAAGAGTGGCCAGGTGCTGGTTCAGGTGCCGGACAGGGGTCTGAAGGGTTCAAAGGGTCGTGCCAGTAGTTTCGAATGGCGCTGGGCTTCTTATAATGAGGCGCTGCGCGCGCCCAGCTTTCTAGATAAAACGTTTCATGATTCACGTTTCTTGTCCTTGAGGCCCTCAACCCTAAACCCTAAACCTTTGAGGCTCGCTGATTAATCCTTCTACATCGGGTTCTTGTGCTTTTACAAGTCTTCATTTCGCGCCCCTGAGTGCACACCTATTCAGTCCGCCCCATGGATCTGTGTTGCTTTTCGCGCTTTAAGCGCTGTCTTACGGTTACCCTAAACTCCTAAACCCTAACCCCTAGACCCCAAACTCTAAACCCTAAACCCTAAACCGCGTTTGCCCAGCAGCACGCGGCTCGGCCTTTGAGCCCAGTGCCAGAGCAGGTCTCTCCAAAGTATTTCCGACCCACCGAAGTGGAAACGTTGCTTGGTGACCCGAAGAAGGCCAGCGAGAAGCTGGGATGGCCCCTTGGTCGCTTAAGGGTGGAGTGTTTAGGGTTTAGGGTTAGGGTTTAGGGTGTATAGGGTTTAGGGTCAGGATAATTTCGGACGCCCTAGGCTCTAGGAGTTGATCAAACATCTACTAATCTACGTGCAACCTTGTTGCCCTAATCCCTAAACCCTGAACCCTAAACCCTGGTTTCATGTTGCCCTGGTCTTTTGGAGCCACACAAGACTCCTGGCGTCTGTCTATGTACACACACACACCAAGTTATATGAAGTAGGGTATATATTTCTTGTACCCCCCAAAAGGACACCAGGTATATACACCCACCAATATGAAAAAGGAACCTTATATACAGTCACCAAAAACAGAAATATAAACCCTGCTTCATATGTGTGCATGCGCATACGCACATACACACGTCGAGATGTGTGTAGATTTGTAGGTGCATGCAGTGCTTCATGCTCGTACCACCGAATTCGAAACCCTCAGCCTTGAAATCCCCAAAGAACTGCAGTAGACAGCTCCAACGGGGTCAAAACCCTGAGCTCGCAGAATCCCGAAACCCCCCCAAAAACCGCTAAACCCTCGCAGCGCATCAATCCCCAAACCCTAAACCCTAAACCCTAAACTCCCGGATCCCAGGAAGCCGGAGATCTCCTTTAAGGAGCTGGTCCACGAGATGCTTCCCGGTTCTGCAAGCCTAGGGGACAGGGGTGGAGGAAGGTTTGGGGCGTCAGGGTTTAGGGCAGTAGGGTCTATAATCATGCAATAATTTAGTAACCCAAAATTCTAAACTATAGTAGTACCGTAAGAATAGAATGATATCAGAATTTAACCGTATGTGATTTGGTTTATGTGGAGTGTGCCTTTTGGTACCCCCTGCCCCATGTTAGAGAGCGCGTATATGTCGCATAAAGGAACCCGCAAAAAGGTACCACACCAATCTTCTTGCTGGGGATTTTGGGTTCGGGGCTCAAGCCTCAGTGACTGGCCGGAGACGCTTGCAGAATCTCCTGCATGCTGGACAGGATCGGGTGCAAAGGTCAACACACACCCGGACCGGTGGTTTCCAGGTCCCATTCCGGTATGGGGACCCACTCATCCGATGGGGGTCTAAGTTAGGGTCCCCTAGGGGGCGGGGATATGACTTATGAACCTGCACGTTGAGTGTCACTTTTCGCAGTTGCCAAGTACACTAGGATATCTACTTTGCCACTTCTGCAAGTTTGGCAGCGCTCTCTTCTCGCTGGTACCTCATCTTTCCACACTTTGGGGACGAGACGTGAAAGGGTTTATGGTTCATATTCCCCTCATAGGGATGATCGTAGTATAGGGTATATGACCCCAATATTAGTGGTTCATTTGGTCCCCAAGGCAGTCATTGTGCGTGAGTGGCTGAGGTTGGACTACGACATGACCCAGGTTGGCCTCACGCTTCCCGCGTCGGCGAGGGACATCATCAAGAGACAGGACACTGACCAACATGGGCAGGGGGTTAGGGATTTAGGGCTTAGGAATGTTGGGATTGATGGTTTAGGGGCAGCTTCTGGTTGAGGGGTTTCTGGGATCGCTTCATGACTTCTTGGCGTTGAAACAGACTTCACCTGGAGCTTTTGACTTCGGAACTTAGTTCGAAGCCCCTGGTTCGAGTGCATCTTCTCCGTGGTTCACTTGGTGGCTTCCGAAAATAGGAGCACCTTATTGGGGTCCTCATTTTAGGGGAATCCTACCATTTGGGGGTTTTAGATTAAGGGTCCCTATTTCGTCGTAAACCCCAACTTATAGGCTTAAGCAACTCAAATCGCTCCCGTCATGGCAGCCTTGCCGCCTAAACCCAAAACCCTAAAAGCTGGAGGACAGCACAGCAGTCACGCATTTTTGAAGGAGTTCCTTGCGAATTGTCACTGAAGTTACGCATGATTCCCAAGGTGGCTGGGTGGGGGGTGGGGGGCAGGGGCTAGCGCGGGATGAGACATCTCGCTGGAGGATGCAGGTGTTTAAGGTAGGCCCGCGACAGAGTGGGCGGTTCTCTTCTGCTTAAGACTCAGACTCGGTATCCTCCAAATGTCTCTGGACTTTAAAGCCCATGCGCATGTGGTGTTTGTGACTCAATGAGGGAAATCGGACACGGGGGTAGGAAATCTTGTGAGTCAACCGTGTTTGGTTTCAGTCCGTGCATGAACCGCCAATCTGCTGCAGGACAAGTATTGCTGAAGCCGGCTTATGTGGCCACCTTTTCCTATCATTTGGCACAACAGATGCAGGGCCTGCGCTCGCTTGAAGCGTTGGGCGGAAATCGCCCCATTATGTATAAATACACATATAAATATCAATACACACACATACATATATATATATATATACACCTATACGTATGTATACACAGATGTATGTATGTATATATATATATATATATATATTTAGTTATATTTATATGTCCATATATATATAGAGAGAGAGATATAGATATGTACACACGCTTATATCATACTCTAGTGTATTGTGTGATACTATTCATATCTCTGTCTATTGTAATTGCAGGTAACTACGATGTTCTTGGGGCGTCGTGCAAGTGTTAGGAATATTCGTGTGCCTTTCTTGAGGTGCTAGAATACTCAGAGCGCGCTACTGGCGGCAGGAGTTAGTGGTGTGGGGTGTGTTGCGATCCAAGCTATTTCAGGCATGGTGTAATCCTTGCCAAATTTCGGCGAGCGCACGCGCCTTTCGATACGCACTTTGAATTCATGCAACCGGCGTTGCTGCACAAACTCCTAAGCTCTACAAGAAGCTTCCGATGCAATGCTATTGGGTGAGAGAAGGTGCAAGAGCGCTTTTTTGCTGAGATCGCTGAAATGCAGCGTAGCGGATATTGTATTGCAGGGACCTGGCACCTAGCCCTGGCAAGTTGAGGGCCGCCAATCTCGTCACTGAAAGTCGAACTTCGGTGCTTGGACCCTGTGAGCGATTGAAACAGGTCAATAGATTCTCGACACAACGAGGCTTGAGCAAAAAGTCCCACTGCTGTTGCCCCAACCCCAGGTCTGGGGGGGGGGGGGGGGGGGGGGGGGGGGGGGGGGGGCAATTTCCCCCCCCCCCCCACCTTTGAGGGCTTAGAACTCCGGATGTGGGACTCAGTAGGCTCAGTAGGCCTTTGGCTCATTTTCTTGAGGTTTCTAGGGCTTCAAGTCTGAGACTCCCTCGAAATCCTATTTGGTTTTTTTTTGGGGGGGAGTTTGGGGGGGGTGGGGGTGGTGTGCAGGGCAGGCTAGCACGCGCCTCCGCTTGCGCCAGCCAGGCGCAGCCAGATGCACAGTGAGCAATCTTGCCCAGGGGCTTGTGCAAAGCGTGGAGGTGGATTAGGGTTTAGGGTTTAGGGTCTAGGGTTCATTTAGGGTGGATTTAGGGTTCAGGCTTCAAGGGGATCAGGGGTTTAATGGGATAGGGTTCAGGGTATAGGCTGGAAGTCCAGTTTCAAAGGGTTTTTGGGCTCGGGCTCAGGGGTTCTTGGGATAGGGTGCAGGGCTCAAGGTTTCAAGGTTCAAGGGCAAGATTGGTAAGGTTCATGTGCTTTCGCTAGGCGATGGGCATATTTTCAGGCACCCAGTGATTTCCGGGAGTTGAGTACGTTTGAAGTTGTGCAAACTCCCGACTGGCTGTCTCGAGGACTCCAGAAAGCCGAAGCCCTTACATCGTTAAGGGTTTAGGATTCAACAGTGGGTTGAGGGTTAACTCAGTTAACTGTTAGAAAAAACCTGACGACCCCGAAGCATCCCGAATCTTCAACAATCCAGCTGAGCTGGCCGTAGGGTTTCCGAAGTCTGCGCAGTTACACCACTTCTGTAAAGGCATGAGGCATGCCGGTTGAGAGTGTCTGTGCATGTGAGAGAAGGGTCTCAAATCACGCATATTTCCTCCTTCAGGGTTTCTGCCAGTGGGATGCTATACATTAGCACGCTGCTGGCGGACATCTTCTTGAGATTCCTTTCAAAGCTGCAGTGTGTTCGCAGCCAGCAACTGCACCTTCAACAATGTAGATTTTTTCTTGGCGTCCTTCAGGCTGCGCACTGCTGCAGCTCAGATTTTGGAGCGTGTGTATCAGGTCAGGTTGTTCGTGCTGGCACCTGTCCTGAAAAGCGCCGTTGAGTTATTATCGCTTATTGCCCGCGTGACATCAGCGCGAAAAGCGTTTGTATTGTCGCACGGTCCATTTGTGTCCAGGATGGGCCTCTTGCCAAAGGCAAGACATCTCCTGTGCGTACACCCACCAAGAGCTTGGGCAGACCCCGTGTAGCCCCCGAAGCCACCCGAGGAACCCACTAATTTAATTAACCCCAAAAATTGGGGTCAGACAACCTGTACGACTATAATCCCTATGTTCAGGTATCTGAACCATAGTTAATTTAGTATTCAGCTGACGGGCTTCGGCTGTTTTGGGGGGCTGTTTCGCCATCTGGTTCCCAGAGGTGCGGAAAGGAATGTCTTACTCAGCCAAGAGTTGAACTTTAAACAGTTTGGGTTTCCTAATTTAGTAGGAATAGTATAAAGTTCACCCTTTTGTCCCCTTGGTTGTTGGAGAAGTATGATTTTGTCTTGTTCCAGCAGTCACACGTGCTGCTGGAGGAAGGCGCGGGACATGTCCAGCTGGAGCCGAGCGCCATCAGAAAAGTTCACCAAAAGTTGGGTTTGCCGAACAGGGCCAGGAGAGCTTAACAACTCACGCAGGGTTTAGGGTTTAGGGTTTGGGGTTTAGGGTGTAGGGTTTAGGGTTAGGTTCACAGTGTCTCGACCTGATTGCACCAAGGGCATCAAGGGAACACAGCTGTGAGCTCAGGTCTTCATCGGCGAGGCGGGCCAGAAGGATATGCTTCAGGATTGAGGAACGGAGGATAGGCTTGCACCCCCAAGCCTATCCCCGTTTAGGGTGTAGGGTGTAGGGTTTAGGGTTTATAAGGGTTTAGATTTAGGGTTGAGGGTCGGGCTCCAAATATACAAATAATACCTACAGTATCCTACAGTGGGGTATAAAGTCTGCAAATAATGCCTACTTTGGGCTTTTTGGAGCCTTAAG